TTATCCGCTCCCACTCTCTGCTCCTCCACTTCCATCACCGTCACTAGACCCCTCTTCAGCCAACATGATGAACACTGCGTTCTGTGTTTTGAGAAGTTTATCCCATGCCGCTTCCAACGACGGCGTGCACTTGTTACCTAAAACTGTTGGCAGGAACTTCACGTAAACGATTCTTACTTTCTGCAGAGGAAAACAATTTTTGGACTTAGACTACTGCGGATTCCAGGTATTTTACTGATTGCTTCTGTAATGTTCTGGTAGGTTAGTTAGTTTTTTTGATTCACTGTAAGGTTGATTGTCGGCTCTGTGGCTAAGTACGCTTCGTAATACTGGGGTGCCGGGTCCGATCTCAGCGGCGCCTTGCGTTGGTTTCGACAGTGGTATCAGAAGGCCGACCTTTCAGATGCAATGGCAAACTACTGGACGTAAATGTGCCTAGACAAACCACACAACAGCCAGGGGCTGCTGGGGTTGTTTCTGCAGCGTCATGTAAAGGATACGCAAATAACCTTGGTATGGTTGATTGGTTTATTGTCCAGTTTTTAATTACTTTGAACGAGAGTTCAGGGAATGAGTGGCGGGACCTGTCGACGCAGAGGTTCAACAGCTGATAGAAGGCAACTGTAGACCAGGAGATGGGTCAGTGGTCAGAGATAGAAAAGGTGAAAACACGAGGAAGGTGAATGATGTAAAAAAGCTTGACATATGGCATTACCACACCCAGCATGAGAATGAATGTCGAGGCAGTAACTGCAGCGTTCCGATGTGTGGGGAAAATCTCAGCCAAACATGTTATCATAGAATTAGATTTGTAAAGCATGTTCCGGAAAGTAAAGTCAGGATTTCTTTCTATGTAATGTTTAACATAAATCCAGGGGTGGTGAAGAGTCAAGTGGTTATTTTCCCCGGGCTTTTCAGATTTGTTTGGGAACGAGCAGGCAGATAAGATGGTTAGACTGGTCTCACTTGGTGGATGTACTGCAACTGCACAAGCAGAGGTGATCTCACCCTGTGGGACAGGGTAAACGGTGAAGTAGAAGATACTGAAAATCTGTACCTGGAAAGAATGACGCAGCGATAAGCGGTCCTGGGCTCTGGCGCAAGATTCAGCATGAACAGCATGAAGGCAAGACGAGTAGTTATCCAGATGACAACAAGTATCATCAGTATAGAAACTCTTTGATGTTTGTTGAGGAAGGAGACGGAGCTAATATGGGCTTATCCTGGATTATGTAATGTTGAATCTTGACCCAGATGAACTGTATAGTATATTTTATTTTATTTTTCAAATCAATTAATGTATTTTTTTTTTCCTCGCAGAAAATCAGTTGATATTTTGATTTATTATATTATTGCTTGTTTTTTGTTTGTTTGTTGGTTTGTTGTTGATAGGTTGGCTGGTTTCTTGATTGGTTCGTTGATTTTCGCTGGTTGGTAGGCTGGCTGGATGGCTGGTTGGTAGGAAGTGTGGTTGGTTGGTTGGTTGGCTGGAAAGGTTGATTGGTTTATTGATTTGTTGGCTGGTTGAACAGGTTGATTGGATGGCTTGTTGATTGGTTGGTTGGTTGATTATTATCTGTCTACTGTTAACGCAGAATATTGGGCGGTGTTCACCAAACCTAACATCCCACATCGTTCTAACGGATTCAGGGGGAGGATACTAGTCTTATCACAGCAAGATAAAATGCAATCCCAAAACTTTTTGTTACAGCAAGGCAGTCCAAGCCCATGGAATTGGCTGGCAGCTGGTCTAGAAGGGAAGCGTCGACAGGCGGACAGATAGATCACTGTCCTTCTAACCCGCACAGCTTCTGTATGCTGCTATATTTAAAACGTGCGGGTATTACCCTTTCTTTGGAGTAAACAAGACAAGCCACACACACACACACAAAAAAAAAAGGTTATCATGCATGGGCAACATATGCTCTCTATAATACTGCACAAGCTTTGTGCTTTGGAGAGGAGGAACTTCATCCATGGCCATAATTGGTCTCGGAAACATTTCTGTGCCCCATGCCACGTCATAGCAATATTGAACTGTCGTCTAGAAATACGGAAATGCACCAGCGAGCCTTTGTTGGCAGACTGTTTGATGTGTCAATAGATCTGGTGACTGACTGGTCCTCAGTTTATATGATGTCTTAGAATTGTTGAGAGGTTAAAGATAATTATGCCCACCACGTGTTAAAAAGGTTCAAGTCAAGAGCATCGCTTCTGGCATGAACGCCGTAGCTCCTGTGGCGATCTCCAGGGATCCCACAGGAGGAATAAAACTGCACTCGTGAAGTGAACGACGCAAAAACGAACCCAAGACCTTCAAGCAAACGGCTTGACCACTTGGCCAGGGAGACCACCATGTCTATACACTATGCACCTGCAACCAGAAACATTGTTGTAACATAGGCATAATGGGCACTGCTAAAAGATGTAATATAATCAATAACTTATAAAAGAAAACGGTTAGTTCGGAGCGCCAGTGTTAGAATGTAAGTTAGTTACGTATCCTTTACGGGATTTTGAAGAGCCAACCCCGTAATGATTTGGCTGTTTATGACTTCACCAAGAAATTTTATGTTTAATAATCTGTTGTATGTTTTTGACTTCACCAGACAATTTTATGTTCAATAGTCTGTTGTATGTTTGTGACTTCACCAAGAAATTTTATGTTTCACAGTCTGTTGTATGTTTTTGACTTCACCAGACCATTTTTTGTTCAATAGCCTGTTGTCTGTTTGTGATTTCATCAGGCAATTTTATGTTGAATAGTCTGTTGTATGTTTGTAACTTCACCAAGAAATTTTATGTTTAATAGTCTGTTGTATGTTTTTGACTTCACCAGACAATTTTTTGTTCAATAGCCTGTTGTCTGTTTGTGATTTCACCAGGCAATTTAATGTTCAATAGTCTGTTGGAGTCTTGATATGGAAACAGCCCTGATGTCCGAGCCTAAGACGATGTGGAGTAGCAAAATCAGCATCGCAGTTAGGGTCAATATTTACACACTTACACATCCAATGTACCTTTTTTCGTTTACGGGTGTGAGAGTTTGACTCAGGCTTTCGAATGTAAATGATCTAGACGCATTTTACGAATTAGGTTTTTATAATATATATCTAACAAATATGACAGAAACCTCTCTTAGCAGTGGTGAAGCGCCGGAAGCTAACTTAGTTCGGGCACGTAGTGGCACATAATTCGATTGGAAAGACTGTACTTCAAAGAACATTGGGGATTAGGCGAAGAAGATGAGGACAAAGAAAAACCTGGAATTACAACATAAGGGAGAAATGTACAGGACTAATTTATCACACTTTTATTCATGAAGCAGAAGACAGATAATGATGGCTGAACGTACGTGCTAGTGCTTTCATCAATACACCTCCACGACCCTAACGTGTCAATGGTATGTTATGTCTGAATGATTTCACCAGGCGGTCTGAATGTTCTGTAGTCTGCTAATGCTCTCAATACCACTGTCGAAACCACCCCAAGGCGGTCTGCTGCCAGATCGTCCGAAGCAGCTGGGAACGAACTTAATACCCTCTTAGCCACAGAAGTTAAAATGTAAACCGATTCTAATTATTTATGTGTAACGGGTTCTGGTGTCCCATTTGCTTTATGGGGGGGGGGGGGGGGGGGGGGAGAAGCGGGGGATATGCCTGCCGCCAACAATAAGCATGTCGTAAAAGTCTACTAATTAAAATGGTTACCTTCAAGGTCAAGATGCATCTGTTTGAGAGGCAAGGAACCAACAGTATGCGTTTTTAAAAAAAAAGCCTGCATCTATCATACGTATGTAAACGCAAAACTCAAGTTCTAGAATGGGACCAAAATGCAGTAGTGGATGAACAACCAGCACTCTCTGTCAGAGCTTATTGCCGATGTACGCTATAAAGAAGAAGAAAGATTCAACAGGTGAACATGTTAGAAAAAAAAAATTACTTTTTTTTAAATTTTCAACGCCTCTAGACCTATTAGGCATGTAGGGCGAGAGAGATATTTTAATGTGGTCAACATTACAATCACAACCTTTACTTGGCAGGACTTTCCCTGGTAGCGGTTGAAACTGGGTCGACCCCCCCCCCCCCCTCCCCGAAAAAAAAAGTTCTGACTCTGCTAGGACCTGAGCCTACAACCTTTAGATTTGCTAACAATCATCTAGCTCCTATACCACGGCGGGTCCCAGTAACATTATTAATTACCTCAAATTCTTCCACCGTGATGCCTCGCGCAATATGGGCCACGGCCATCTTCTCGGCCAGGCCCATGAAGGTTTCCGTGTCCTCGATGTTCTCAACATAAGAGTTAATGTAGTAAAAGACACTGGCGGCATGCACCCGCATCTTCGGACTGGTCCTCAGCTCAGAAAGTTGTTTGTTTTTGAAAATTCCAAAGTAGTTTTGAACATATGGGTACGCTGCAAATAGCCTGCAACATTCATTATAATTACTTGGATTATAACAGTAATTCAATAAGTCTGACTGACTTTCTACCCCACCAGGACATCACACAAGCGATTAACACCAGATGATACAAAGTGCCACCATGTGGATGAGGATTGCCATGGAGAGTTCCCAGAAACCGCGTTCAGGCAATTGGCCATATTTATGGCCTGCCTATATTGCTGCCCCTGGCAAAAGCCAGGGTGCGCCTTCAAATAACAAAAAATTTCGTCCTAAAAAGGACGTAAGGATATTAAACGCATTCAATAAGTAAGTTACAGATAGTTATTTACAAAAATAACAATTACGATAACAACTTTAAAACGTTTTTTTTTTTTTTTTTACATACAATGTCTGACAATTAAGTGATGAGACTAATTCCATACAAATTAAAACAATCAACAGTTGAAAATATAACCTGTTTTTTTATTCAAAGCAAGCCCCTTTGTGATTGATACACCGTCTGAAAACAAAAACACTGGAACGACCTCTGTAGTTCTTCTGTTGTTATCGCCCTTGAAGTCGATGTTACGACCTTTTGGAAGACATCAATATCGTCAAAGAATCGTCCTTTCAATGGCAACTTTAATTTAGGGATTAGAAAATAGTCACAGGGAGACAAATCCGGGGGAGGGGGGGGGGGGGGAAGGAGAGATATGGTGGGAGGCTGAGAACACGCACTTGTTTCCTAAAATTCCTGTACAACTACCGCCCTTTGAGCCGATGCACTGTCATGAAAAGAAACAAAGTGCCGGTGTTGAATACAAACCGGTCAGCAACTTTTTTTCTTGCCCAAATCTTCCACTAACATTTTACGAACAGTCTTTGTATTAACACCAAATACATCTACCATCATCCTCATAGTCAAACAACAATCTTCTTGTATCCGTTCTCGGAATTTTGAAATGAGTTCCTCATTACAAACAGAAATTGGGCGTCCGGGTCTAGTTGCATTAGGAATCATTTCCACACCACTTTTGAATCGTGAATACCAGCTCAAATTTTTGCACGAGATATACAATTATCCCTATGAACTTGTCGCATCAATTCATCTGTTGCAATGGCGCTTTTTCTGAGTTTTAAACAAAATTTAATGTCATCATTTTTTAAACTTCATGCTCATTGCGTAACAATGCAACTCTGACTAAGTTAACAAAATGGCGGCTTGTTTTAGTCTGCTTTTCAGGCTGCGATAAAAATTTGCCACATCATAGACGATGGTTGCCTCTTTTGATTCCATGCAGTAAATCATAAATGGCATTTTTGTCTTAGCCATATTAAAATCACTCTCATTACTTAATTGTCAGACCTTGTATACAATGTCCCTTTATTTTTCAACATAATTTCCACCAAAACTGATGCACTTGTTCCATCATTTTATCAGTCCTCTCAAACCTGCTGCATAGAACTTGGTGCTCTCTTTTCTAAACGACATTTCTACTTCACATTCAACTTCTGCATCATTCAGTGCATAGCTTTACGCGATAAACATTTGTCAGCAAAAACAGGATGCATTTCATAATGAATGTTCTTTGCAGGCTGCCTTTTTTGCCGGCTTCACCCCCACACACAAAAGCACAATAGTACGTTGTTCTTTGAGGGTACACCCCGTAGGTGCAATAGCCATTTTTATTTCTGTATTGTGAATGCGTATGAAACACCTAGCGTCACATAACGAACAGAGACATAAAGTTTAATGTTGCTGTCACCTAATGACACCTTTAGAAGACACCAGCTACATTTTCCAGCCAAACAAAACCATTTGTGACTTATTTATTCACTTCCCCTCGTGTTTGTGTGTGTGTGTGTGTGTGTGTGTGTGTGTGTGTGTAATTAGGTGACTGTTTTAACCTTACGGATGCGTGATGCAAAGTTATGAGGATGTCACAACATATCGGTTTCTTTTAGTCCCAGGCTCATGCGGGTGCAAGAGGAAACTAACTAGCTGATAAGCATGATGTCTATGTTACAGGGGAAAGCAAACTTTCAACAGACGGATTTGAGATGTGTAATCTATTTTTAAAAGACGGTGGAATAAATGATTCAATGGGTAACTGCTAATCGTAACACAGATCTTAAATGCTATAGACGCCTTTTACGAATTAGTTATTTTAAGTGTGTGGCACACATAAGGCGTGTTGGGACACGAAGGAAAAGATTGGGACCTTACCACGTAGAACCCAAATACAGTAATGGAAGCACAACAAGCTAGAAATCGCATTGGCACATGGAATGTTAGAACGTTAAGCGTTACAAGTGGGAGGATAACATCAAGAGATGAACGAACAGCAGTATGAGTGAGTGTACATCAAAGGCAAGAGACAGGGCCTGTAGGAGATCCATTGCAGCCAACCTTCATTGTGGAGACGGCACCTGATTGATGGATTGATATTTAGAACAGAAAACTAATAAATATGTCAGAAACAAAATTTACAAATTTGCAGGACATCAAAAGCGTCTCTTAGTAAGAGCTAGCATGGTTCGGGCATTTGATGAGACATCATTTCGTTGTAAAGTCTGTCTATAAGCAAAGTGGGGGAGGGGGGGGGGTGTCGAAAAAGTTATTTATGTGAACGACTTTAGGTGTTTTAGCCATATAGGTCTATATCTATATTTAATAGACCGAACAGTACTCGGTGAGTGATGTGGTCAAAGCCATATCGGCCGCCTTAACTTCCCACGGGTTTATCTGTTGCCCATTTGAGGCTCTCCATCCCCATCCCCTTTTCAATGTTTTCTTTGAATAATCTACATTCAAATAGTTCAATGAAAGTTGATAATGATGTCGTAGTGATATCATCATGACATCAAAGAACAACGATAACACCGTCCCTTACATCAAAAAGAACTCCAACGCGTTCTGTTTGATGGCGCTCCTGCTCCCTATAATTTTCCAACTGTCCACAATCATTTCCCGGTCCTTCTCAGTCAGTCCTGTAATGGGATCGGGAGTGGGGTCATACACTTTCGGCTGCGCCGGTTTCTTGGAGCCGCCGCAGCCCATGTTTGGCACCTGGTTTCCAGCTAGAGTGTGACCTGTGCGTTCTCACGTGCTAGCAGAGGCTGTCAGTCCGTAGCTTGTTCCTGAATAAAAAAAAGCAGGCATTTCTGAGCGTGCATGTACACCGTCAGTAAGATTATCATCACAAATGGTACTTCAGTTTTAAATCTCCATGTGTGGGTTCCGAGGCCCTGTTATAGGGGAAACGCAAAGAAGCAGAAGAAAAAGAAGAAGAACACAAAAAAGAGGAAGAAGAAGAAGAAAAAGAAAGAAGAAGAAGAAAAAGAAGAAGAAGAAGAAGAAGAAGAAGAAGAAGAAGAAGAAGAAGAAGAAGAAGAAGAAGAAGAAGAAGAAGAAGAAGAAGAAGAAGAAGAAGAAGAAGAAGAAAAAGAAGAATTACAAGAAGAAGTAGAAATTAGGACGAAGAAGACTAGACACCACGGACTAGACTCATTAGTTGGCCGCTGGATACAGATTTCGCCTTTACCTGGTGTGTCGTCCTGTCCCTATCACCCGGGTACAAGTCCCAAAAACCATGTATAACTGTTAAATTAGGGCCCCTGAGACAGCCGAGGTGGGGCTATCAAAAAACAACTGGGGTATAAAGAGTGAGTAAAACAACGAAAGTGATATTCTTTTTTCAAATCAGTACTCATCATTGACAAGTTGGGGCTAACAAATGCAATGGCTGGGGCATTTGAAGAAAATAAACACGTTCCCACTATCGGAGGCAATTGTTTCGATACTTCAATGCCCCACCTTGGCTGTAGTCGAGGGCCTTACTATAACCTAACTGTTGAACGGGGTTTCTGGGATTGTACCCAGGTGATTCTATCCGAATTGTGGCACTTTGTATCACCGGTTGTGGTAGCTCATGGTACGGTCCTGGTGGGGTTGAACGGCACAAGCATATACAGAAAATGGCAGGTAACAGAGAAACAGAATCTGTATACACAAAGATGTTGAATGGGACAGACCACTAAAACAGTGGGGGAGTTAAGGTTACTGCAGACCTAAAGACACTTCAAGGCACCAACTAGACAGAGAAGCCTTGGCATAAATGAATGAAGGCGGGTGATATGTGCAGTAATAAGCCTTAAAGACATAAAATGCCGAAGAACAGGACAGATACACGAACAGAAACATCAGTCAGTAATTCGAAGAGCTCGATGAATCAGATTTTGTAATCTAGCCTCAGTCTATACAGTCATCTTTTTAAAGTATCTTGGCAAAGTAGGAGATAATATACAAACATTGCGATAAAACTGGGGTCCAATCTCTGCTTGTTGACTTTTATGTTGTATCAACTTCTTCCGAGTATATAATACTAGTTTTGTACGCATGCCGACTTAACACCTTGTCAGTGTCATGTACGGGAAAACCCCGTGAGATGCGAGAAGAAGAGATCTGTTTAAGGCCAGTGCCTTTGGCGTCCCCACATTCAGCAGCAAACGAAAAGTTCAAATTCCGATAGCATCCGTAACTCTGATTGCACATCCGTCTCGCTTCCCCCTTGCGATTTTAGCGTCAGCCAAACCACCCTGGTAACTCCTGGCAGCGCTATTCTCCTTAGGCCGTAATGGTCTATTTGTGCCATTGCAATGCCCACTCAACAAAGATAATGCATACAAACAAAACTGCCATGGAGAAGGAAATATATGTTAATGAGGAAAGATTGGAAGTGGTGGAAAATTTCGAATATCTTGGGTCACTGGTTACCAACAATGGTGACACAATGAAAGAAATTAAACGGCGACTATCAATTGCTCTTCAAAGACTAAAACAACTGAATAAATTATGGAATTGTACAGATAGAATTACAAAGGTCAGATTTTTAAGAGCATGCATCTTTCCCATTGCAACATACGCCTGTGAGACCTGGACACTTACTAAACAAGCGGAACAGCGCATAAATGCATTTGAATATAAATGTTACAGACAGGTTCTAAGAATATCTTGGGTAAAGAAAAGAACAAATGCATCCATACTTCAAGAGCTGAATATTGAAGAGGGTTGGCTAGTAAAGACAATAAAACAAAGAAAATTGAAATATTTTGGTCACTTGAAACGTCATGGAGGTCTAGAGAGAACAATAATGGAGGGGTATATGCCTGGGAAGAGAGGAAGAGGAAGGCCAAGGAGAAGATGGGTGCAGGATGTGGCAGATGATCTCCAGATGGGTGTATCAGACGCAGGACATCTTGCTCATGATAGGAAGGTTTTCCGGAGGGTTGTTATGGCAGCGAGGTTCCGCGAGGGACATGCTACTGAATGAATGAATGAATGCCCACTCGCTCCCACAAGGCTGTGTATAGTAGTACTTTATATGCAGTTGAAAAATTAACTTCCCTTAGGATGAATTTGCACCCGGGATAGGCCAATTGACCAGCTTAATTAGAGAACCATCGGTCACCGGCAGTTAACGGTATCTTCATCCTTGTGGCTGTCAGAGAAAGAAAACTCAGCGGTGTGAGACCACTAAAAACAACAAACAAGGAAACTGTCACTACTGTCTATCATTGTTTGTCACCACTGTCTGTCACTACAATCTTTCACC